TGGGTGAGTGGTGAGTGAGTGAGTGGGTGAGTGACTACACAAGAGGCACCGCTCCCGTGCTGATCATCAACCACACAGAGTCACTGGCGCTCACCTACTCTCAGGGGTGAGTGGTGAGTGGGTGGTGAGTGGGTGAGTGAGTGAGTGGGTGAGTGGGTGAGTGGGTGGGTGGGTGGGTGAGTGGGTGAGTGAGTGGGTGAGTGAGTGAGTAGGTGGGTGAGTGAGTGAGTGGGTGAGTAAGTGGGTGAGTGGGTGGGTGAGTGGGTGGGTGGGTGGGTGAGTGGGTGGGTGGGTGGGTGAGTGGGTGGGTGGGTGGGTGAGTGGGTGGGTGAGTGGGTGAGTGGGTGGGTGGGTGAGTGGGTGGGTGAGTGGGTGGGTGGGTGGGTGGGTGAGTGGGTGGGTGAGTGAGTGAGTGGGTGAGTGAGTGAGTGGGTGAGTGAGTGAGTGAGTGGGTGAGTGAGTGAGTGGGTGGGTGAGTGGTGAGTGGGTGGGTGGGTGGGTGGGTGAGTGGGTGGGTGGGTGGGTGGTTGGGTGGTTGAGTGGGTGGGTGAGTGAGTGAGTGGGTGGGTGGGTGGGTGAGTGAGTGGTGAGTGGGTGGGTGAGTGGGTGGGTGGGTGAGTGGGTGGGTGGGTGAGTGGGTGGGTGGGTGGGTGGGTGAGTGAGTGGGTGAGTGAGTGAGTGAGTGGGTGAGTGAGTGAGTGGTGGGTGAGTGAGTGGGTGAGTGAGTGACTGAGTGAGTGTGCGAGTGAGTGAGTGTGCGAGTGAGTGGGTGAGTGAGTGAGTGAGTGGGTGAGTGGGTGGGTGAGTGGGTGGGTGGGTGGGTGAGTGAGTGAGTGGGTGAGTGAGTGAGTGGGTGGGTGAGTGGGTGAGTGGGTGGGTGGGTGGGTGGGTGAGTGGGTGGGTGAGTGGGTGGGTGAGTGGGTGGGTGGGTGAGTGGGTGGGTGAGTGGGTGAGTGGGTGGGTGGGTGGGTGGGTGAGTGGGTGGGTGGGTGAGTGGGTGGGTGAGTGGGTGGGTGAGTGGGTGGGTGGGTGGGTGAGTGGGTGGGTGGGTGAGTGGGTGGGTGGGTGAGTGAGTGAGTGAGTGGGTGAGTGAGTGAGTGGGTGGGTGGGTGGGTGAGTGAGTAGTGAGTGGGTGGGTGAGTGAGTGGGTGGGTGGGTGGGTGAGTGGGTGGGTGAGTGGGTGGGTGGGTGGTTGAGTGGGTGGGTGAGTGAGTGAGTGAGTGGGTGGGTGGGTGGGTGAGTGAGTGGTGAGTGGGTGGGTGAGTGGGTGGGTGGGTGGGTGAGTGGGTGGGTGAGTGGGTGGGTGGGTGGGTGGGTGAGTGAGTGGGTGAGTGAGTGAGTGGGTGAGTGAGTGAGTGGGTGAGTGAGTGAGTGAGTGGGTGAGTGAGTGAGTGAGTGGTGGGTGAGTGAGTGGGTGAGTGAGTGACTCAGTGATTGTGCGAGTGAGTGAGTGTGCGAGTGAGTGGGTGAGTGAGTGAGTGGGTGAGTGGGTGGGTGAGTGGGTGGGTGGGTGAGTGAGTGAGTGAGTGGGTGAGTGAGTGAGTGGGTGGGTGAGTGGGTGAGTGGGTGGGTGAGTGGGTGGGTGAGTGGGTGGGTGGGTGAGTGGGTGGGTGAGTGGGTGAGTGGGTGGGTGGGTGGGTGAGTGGGTGGGTGAGTGGGTGAGTGGGTGAGTGAGTGGGTGAGTGGGTGAGTGGGTGAGTGAGTGGGTGAGTGAGTGAGTGGGTGAGTGGGTGAGTGAGTGAGTGGTGAGTGAGTGACTGGGTGAGCGACTACACAGGAGGCACCGCTCCCGTGCTGATCATCAACCACACAGAGTCACTGGCGCTCACCTACTCTCAGGGGTGAGTGGTGAGTGGGTGGTGAGTGGGTGGGTTGGTGGGTGGGTGAGTGGGTGGGTGGGTGAGTGAGTGGGTGAGTGAGTGGGTGGGTGGGTGAGTGGGTGGGTGGGTGAGTGGGTGGGTGAGTGGGTGAGTGAGTGGGTGGGTGAGTGAGTGAGTGAGTGGGTGGGTGGGTGGGTGAGTGGGTGAGTGAGTGGGTGGGTGAGTGGGTGAGTGAGTGGGTGGGTGAGTGAGTGAGTGAGTGGGTGAGTGAGTGAGTGAGTGGGTGAGTGGGTGAGTGAGTGGGTGGGTGAGTGAGTGAGTGGGTGGGTGAGTGAGTGAGTGGGTGGGTGGGTGGGTGAGTGGGTGAGTGGGTGGGTGAGTGGGTGGGTGAGTGAGTGAGTGGGTGGGTGGGTGAGTGAGTGAGTGGGTGAGTGAGTGAGTGAGTGGGTGAGTGGGTGAGTGAGTGAGTGAGTGGGTGAGTGAGTGAGTGGGTGGGTGAGTGAGTGAGTGAGTGGGTGGGTGAGTGGGTGGGTGGGTGAGTGGGTGAGTGGGTGAGTGAGTGGGTGAGTGAGTGAGTGGGTGAGTGAGTGAGTGGGTGGGTGAGTGAGTGAGTGAGTGGGTGGGTGAGTGGGTGGGTGAGTGGGTGAGTGGGTGAGTGAGTGGGTGAGTGAGTGAGTGGGTGATGGTGATGTTGATGATGGTGGTGATGTTGATGTTGATGGTGATGTTGATGGTGATGTTGATGATGTTGCTAGTGATGGGGAGGAGCGGTGGTTGATGGCGGGACAGGCAGTGATGTTTTGTTGGCCATCGCCCGGCTGTGATCGCTCACTCTGCTGGGGTCTCGTGGACGGCAAGCGGAGGACGACCCAGCTCACTGCCGTGAGACATCAACAACAACAACAACATCAAAATCAACATCAACAACATCAACATCAACAACAACATCATCATCAACAACAACATCAAGAACATCATCAACAACAACAACATCATCAACAACAACATCAACAACATCAACATCATCATCATTCACATCATCAACATCATCAACCACCACCACCACCACAACAACATCAACAACATCAACATCATCATCATCATTCACATCATCATCATCAACAACATCAACAACATCATCATCAACAACAACAACATCAAAATCAACAACATCAACAACAACATCATCATCAACAACATCATCATCATCATCATCAACATCAACAACAACATCATCAACATCATCATCATCAACACCAACAACAACAACATCATCAACATCATCAACCACCACCACAACAACATCAACATCATCAACAACAACATCATCATCATCAACACCAACAACAACAACATCATCAACATCATCAACCACCACCACCACCACAACAACATCAACATCATCAACAACAACATCATCATCATCAACACCAACAACAACATCATCAACATCATCAACCACCACCACCACCACAACAACATCAACATCATCAACAACATCATCAACAACAACATCAGCATCATCAACAACATCATCAACAACAACATCAACATCATCAACATCATCATCAACAACATCATCAACAACATCAACAACAACATCAACAACAACATCAACAACATCATCAACAACATCATCAACAACAACATCAACATCATCAACATCATCATCAACAACAACATCAACAACAACAACAACAACATCCACAACATCCACAACATCAACAACATCATCAACATCATCATAACAACAACATCAACATCATCATCATCAACATCATCATCAACCACCACCACCACAACAACAACATCAACATCATCATCATCATCATTCACATCATCATCATCAACATCACCAACAACAACAACATCAACAACATCACCAACAACAACATCATCAACAACATCAACATCAACAACATCATCATCATCAACATCATCATCAACAACATCATCAACAACATCAACAACAACATCAACAACATCATCAACAACATCATCAACAACAACATCAACAACTTTAACATCATCATCAACATCATCAACATCAACAACAACATCAAAATCAACAACATCAACAACAACATCATCAACAACTTTAACATCATCATCATCAACAACATCAACAACAACATCAACATCACCAACATCAACATCATCAACATCACCAACATCATCATCATCAACATCATCATCAACAACATCATCAACAACATCAACAACAACATCAACAACATCATCAACAACATCATCAACAACAACATCAACAACTTTAACATCATCATCAACATCATCAACATCAACAACAACATCAAAATCAACAACATCAACAACAACATCATCAACAACTTTAACATCATCATCATCATCAACAACATCACCAACATCAACATCATCAACATCACCAACATCATCATCATCAACATCATCAACCACCACCACCACCACAACAACATCAACATCATCATCATTCACATCATCATCATCAACAACATCATCATCATCAACAACAACATCATCAACATCAACAACACCAACAACAACATCAACATCATCAACTCCCACCCCCCCCCTCCCCCCCCCCCAGGATGAGTTTGGCTCTGTGGGCCTCGACGCTTCCCCCGGCGCTTCTCGCGACGCTTCCCCCGGCGCTTCTCGCGGCGCTTCCCTCGGCGCTTCTCCGTGGTTCTCGTCCTTCCTGTGGGGGGTGCAGCGAGTTCTGCTGCTCACCGACGACGCCGCCGCCCTCACCCGCACGCTTCCCGGCGCTTCCCTCGGCGCTTCCTCGGCGCTTCTCGCTTCCTCCTCCTCGCTCCGGGGCTCCGCTTCCTCGACGCTTCCCGCTTCCTCGACGCTCCGGGGCTCCGCTTCCTCGGCTCTTCCCGCTTCCGCTTCCTCCTCCTCCTCCTCGCTCCGGGCCTCTGCTTCCTCGACGCTCCGGGGCTCCGCTTCCTCGACGCTTCCCGCTTCCGCTTCCTCTTCCTCGCTCCGGGGCTCTGCTTCCTCGGCGCTTCCCGCTTCCTCGACGCTCCGGGGCTCCGCTTCCTCGACGCTTCCCGCTTCCGCTCCCGGCGAGGGAAGCTCCGCGCTTCGGGTGGAGGTGTCGCTGCAGGGGGTGGGGCTGTCCCTCGTCGGGGGCGGGGCCAAGGGAGGGGGCGGGGTCAAGGGAGGGGGCGGGGGCAAGGGAGGGAGCGGGGGCGGGGCCGGGGGAGGGAGATACGAAGTCGCCTTCATCTCCATCTGCAGGTCAGCAACGCCGGCGCTTCCCGTGTGCTTCCCGTGTGCTTCCCGTGTGCTTCCCGTGTGCTTCCCGTGTGCTTCCCGTGTGCTTCCCGTGTGCTTCCTGTGTGCTTCCCGTGTGCTTCTACTCTGCTTCCTGTGTGCTTCCCGTGTGCTTCCCGTGTGCTTTCCTTGTGCTTCCCGTGTGCTTCCAGTGTGCTTCTCGTGTGCTTCTACTCCGCTTCCTGTGTGCTTCCCGTGTGCTTCCCGTGTGCTTCCCGTGTGCTTCCTGTCCTGTTTGCTTCCTGTGTGCTTCCTGTGTGCTTCTACTCTGCTTCCTGTGTGCTTCTACTCTGCTTCCTGTGTGCATCCCGTGTGCTTCCCGTGTGCTTCCCGTGTGCTTCTACTCCACTTCCTGTGTGCTTCCTGTGTGCTTCCCGTGTGCTTCCTGTGTGCTTCCTGTGTGCTTCCTGTGCTTCTACTCTGCTTACTGTGTGCTTCCTGTGTGCTTCTACCCTGCTTCCTGTGTGCTTCCCGTGTGCTTCTACTCCGCTTCCTGTGTGCTTCCCGTGTGCTTCCCGTGTGCTTCTACTTTGCTTCCTGTGTGCTTCCTGTGTGCTTCCCGTGTGCTTCTACTCTGCTTCCTGTGTGCTTCCCGTGTGCTTCCTTTGTGCTTCCTGTGTGCTTCTACTCCGCTTCCTGTGTGCTTCCTGTGTGCTTCCTGTGTGCTTCCTGTGTGCTTCCCGTGTGCTTCTTGTGTGCTTCTACTCCGCTTCCTGTGTGCTTCTACCCTGCTTCCTGTGTGCTTCCTGTGTGCTTCTACCCCGCTTCCTGTGTGCTTCCTGTGTGCTTCCTGTGTGCTTCTACTCCGCTGCCTGTGTGCTTCCTGTGTGCTTCTACTCTGCTTCCCGTGTGCTTCTACTCTGATTCCTGTGTGCTTCCTGTGTGCTTCCCGTGTGCTTCCCGTGTGCTTCTACTCTGATTCCTGTGTGCTTCCTGTGTGCTTCTACTCCGCTTCCTGTGTGCTTCCTGTGTGCTTCTACCCCGCTTCCTGTGTGCTTCCTGTGTGCTTCCTGTGTGCTTCTACTCCGCTTCCTGTGTGCTTCCTGTGTGCTTCTACTCCACTTCCTGTGTGCTTCCTGTGTGCTTCCTGTGTGCTTCTACTCCGCTTCCCGTGTGTTTCCCGTGTGCTTCTACTCTGCTTCCTGTGTGCTTCCTGTGTGCTTCCCGTGTGCTTCTACCCCGCTTCCTGTGTGCTTCCTGTGTGCTTCTACTCCGCTTCCTGTGTGCTTCCTGTGTGCTTCTACTCCGCTTCCCGTGTGCTTCCCGTGTGCTTCTACTCTGCTTTCTGTTTGCTTCCCGTGTGCTTCCTGTGTGCTTCTACTCCACTTCCTGTGTGCTTCCTGTGTGCTTCTACTCCGCTTCCCATGTGCTTCCCGTGTGCTTCTACTCCGCTTCCTGTGTGCTTCTACTCTGCTTCCTGTGTGCTTCTTGTGTGCTTCTACTCCGCTTCCTGTGTGCTTCCTGTGTGCTTCTACCCCGCTTCCTGTGTGCTTCCTGTGTGCTTCCTGTGTGCTTCTACTCCGCTTCCTGTGTGCTTCCTGTGTGCTTCTACTCCACTTCCTGTGTGCTTCCTGTGTGCTTCCTGTGTGCTTCCTGTGTGCTTCTACTCCGCTTCCCATGTGCTTCCCGTGTGCTTCTACTCTGCTTCCTGTGTGCTTCCTGTGTGCTTCCCGTGTGCTTCTACCCCGCTTCCTGTGTGCTTCCTGTGTGCTTCCTGTGTGCTTCTACTCCGCTTCCTGTGTGCTTCCTGTGTGCTTCTACTCCGCTTCCTGTGTGCTTCCTGTGTGCTTCCTGTGTGCTTCTACTCTGCTTCCCGTGTGCTTCCCGTGTGCTTCTACTCTGCTTTCTGTTTGCTTCCCGTGTGCTTCCTGTGTGCTTCTACTCCGCTTCCTGTGTGCTTCCTGTGTGCTTCTACCCCGCTTCCTGTGTGCTTCCTGTGTGCTTCCTGTGTGCTTCCTGTGTGCTTCTACTCTGCTTCCTGTGTGCTTCCTGTGTGCTTCCTGTGTGCTTCTACTCTGCTTCCTGTGTGCTTCTACTCCACTTCCTGTGTGCTTCCTTTGTGCTTCTACTCCACTTCCCATGTGCTTCCCGTGTGCTTCTACTCCGCTTCCTGTGTGCTTCTACTCTGCTTCCTGTGTGCTTCTTGTGTGCTTCTACTCCGCTTCCTGTGTGCTTCCTGTGTGCTTCTACTCCGCTTCCTGTGTGCTTCCTGTGTGCTTCTACTCCGCTTCCTGTGTGCTTCCTGTGTGCTTCTACCCCGCTTCCTGTGTGCTTTCTGTGTGCTTCCTGTGTGCTTCCTGTGTGCTTCCTGTGTGCTTCTACTCCGCTTCCTGTGTGCTTCCTGTGTGCTTCTACTCCGCTTCCTGTGTGCTTCCTGTGTGCTTCCCGTGTGCTTCCCGTGTGCTTCCTGTGTGCTTCTACTCCACTTCCCGTGTGCTTCCCGTGTGCTTCTACTCCGCTTCCTGTGTGCTTCTTGTGTGCTTCTACTCCGCTTCCTGTGTGCTTCCTGTGTGCTTCTACTCCGCTTCCTGTGTGCTTCCTGTGTGCTTCTACTCCGCTTCCTGTGTGCTTCCTGTGTGCTTCTACCCCGCTTCCTGTGTGCTTTCTGTGTGCTTCCTGTGTGCTTCCTGTGTGCTTCCTGTGTGCTTCTACTCCGCTTCCTGTGTGCTTCCTGTGTGCTTCTACTCCGCTTCCTGTGTGCTTCCTGTGTGCTTCCCGTGTGCTTCCCGTGTGCTTCCTGTGTGCTTCTACTCCACTTCCCGTGTGCTTCCCGTGTGCTTCTACTCCGCTTCCTGTGTGCTTCCTGTGTGCTTCTACTCTGCTTCCTGTGTGCTTCTTGTGTGCTTCTACTCCGCTTCCTGTGTGCTTCCTGTGTGCTTCTACTCCGCTTCCTGTGTGCTTCCTGTGTGCTTCCCGTGTGCTTCTACTCTGCTTCCTGTGTGCTTCCTGTGTGCTTCCTGTGTGCTTCTACTCCGCTTCCTGTGTGCTTCTACTCCACTTCCCGTGTGCTTCCTGTGTGCTTCTACTCCACTTCCCGTGTGCTTCCCGTGTGCTTCTACTCCGCTTCCTGTGTGCTTCTTGTGTGCTTCTACTCTGCTTCCTGTGTGCTTCTTGTGTGCTTCTACTCTGCTTCCTGTGTGCTTCCTGTGTGCTTCTACTCCGCTTCCTGTGTGCTTCCTGTGTGCTTCCTGTGTGCTTCCTGTGTGCTTCTACTCCGCTTCCTGTGTGCTTCCCGTGTGCTTCCTGTGTGCTTCTACTCCGCTTCCTGTGTGCTTCTACGCTTCCTCGGTGCTTCCTGTGCTCTGGCTTGACCCCTCCGCTCCCCCTCCGCTCCCCGCCAGCTCCGGCGTGCTGTGGGAGATTGAGAGAAAGCGGCGTTGGAAGCCGCTCAGCGAGAAGCTGAGCCAGCGCCTGGAGGCCGCCTTCAGCGCGGAGCAGCAGCAGCAGGAGCAGCAGCAGGAGCAGCAGCAGGAGCAGCAGGGGCAGCAGGGGCAGCAGCAGCAGGGGCAGCAGGAGCAGCAGGAGCAGCAGGGGCAGCAGTGGAGGAGGAGGAGGGCAGCAAGGGTCACCGTGGGGGAGGCAGAGGTGAGGGTTTGGGCGTTTGTCTTCACGTCTCTCTGTCTCACTTGTCTCTCTGTGTCTCTGTCTCTCTGTCTGTCTCTCTGTCTCTCTCTCTCTCTCACGTGTCTCTCTGTCTCTCTCTGTCTCTCTCACGTGTCTCTCTCACGTGTCTCTCTGTCTCTGTCTCTCTGTGTCTCTGTCTCTCTGTCTCTCTCACGTCTCTCTGTCTCTCTGTCTATCTCACGTGTCTCTCTCACGTCTCTCTGTCTCTATGTCTCTCTCACGTGTCTCTCTGTCTCTCTCTCTGTCTCTCTCTCACGTGTCTCTCTGTCTCTCTCACGTGTCTCTCTCACGTGTCTCTCTGTCTCTGTCTCTCTGTCTCTCTCTCTCTCTCACGTGTCTCTCTGTCTCTCTCTGTCTCTCTCACGTGTCTCTCTCACGTCTCTCTGTCTCTATGTCTCTCTCACGTGTCTCTCTGTCTCTCTCTCTGTCTCTCTTTCACGTGTCTCTCTGTCTCTCTCGTGTCTCTGTGTCTCTCTGTCTCTCTCTCTGTCTCTCTGTCTCTCTCTCTCTCTCACGTGTCTCTCTGTCTCTCTCTGTGTCTCTCACGTGTCTCTCTCACGTGTCTCTCTGTCTCTCTGTCTCTCTCACGTGTCTCTCTGTCTCTCTGTCTCTCTGTCTCTCTCTGTCTCTCTCTCGTGTCTCTCTGTCTCTCTCACGTGTCTCTCTGTCTCTCTCTCTGTCTCTCTCTCACGTGTCTCTCTGTCTCTCTCGTGTCTCTGTGTCTCTCTGTCTCTCTCTCTGTCTCTCTGTCTCTCTCTCTCTCTCACGTGTCTCTCTGTCTCTCTCTGTCTCTCTCACGTGTCTCTCTCACGTGTCTCTCTGTCTCTCTGTCTCTCTCACGTGTCTCTCTGTTTCTCTGTCTCTCTGTCTCTCTCTGTCTCTCTCTCGTGTCTCTCTGTCTCTCTCACGTGTCTCTCTGTCTCTCTCTCTGTCTCTCTCTCACGTGTCTCTCTGTCTCTCACGTGTCTCTCTGTCTCTCTGTCTCTCTCTCTGTCTCTCTGTCTCTCTGTCTCTCTCTGTCTCTCTCACGTGTCTCTCTCACGTGTCTCTCTGTCTCTCTGTCTCTCTCACGTGTCTCTCTGTTTCTCTGTCTCTCTGTCTCTCTCTCGTGTCTCTCTGTCTCTCTCACGTGTCTCTCTGTCTCTCTCTCTGTCTCTCTCTCACGTGTCTCTCTGTCTCTCTCGTGTCTCTGTGTCTCTCTGTCTCTCTCTCTGTCTCTCTGTCTCTCTCTCTCTCTCACGTGTCTCTCTGTCTCTCTCTGTCTCTCTCACGTGTCTCTCTGTCTCTCTGTCTCTCTCTCTGTCTCTCTCACGTGTCTCTCTGTTTCTCTGTCTCTCTGTCTCTCTCTGTCTCTCTCTCGTGTCTCTCTGTCTCTCTCACGTGTCTCTCTGTCTCTCTCACGTGTATCTCTGTCTCTCTCACGTGTCTCTCTCACGTGTCTCTCTGTCTCTCTCACGTGTCTCTCTGTCTCTCTCACGTGTATCTCTGTCTCTCTCACGTGTCTCTCTCACGTGTATCTCTGTCTCTCTGTCTCTCTCACGTGTCTCTCTGTCTCTCTGTCTCTCTCTGTCTCTCTCTGTCTCTCTGTCTCTCTCTGTCTCTCTCTGTCTCTCTCTGTCTCTCTCTGTCTCTCTGTCTCTCTGTGTCTCTCTCTGTCTCTCCATTGTGTCTCTGTCATCTCACCCCGTGTTTCTCTCCGTGTCTCCCCGTGTCTCCCCCCGTGTCTCTCCGTCTCTCACCCCGTGTCTCCCCGTGTCTCCCCGTGTCTCCCCCCGTGTCTCCCCGTGTCTCCTCCCGTGTCTCCCCATGTCTCCCCCCGTGTCTCCCCATGTCTCCCCGTGTCTCCCCGTGTCTCCCCCCGTGTCTCCCCGTGTCTCCTCCCATGTCTCCCCGTGTATCTCCCCGTGTCTCCCCCCGTGTCTCCACCCGTGTTCCCCGTGTCTCCCCGTGTCTCTCCCCGTGTCTCTCCCTGTGTCTCCCCGTGTCTCTCCGTGTATCTCCCCGTGTCTCCCCCTGTGTCTCCCCGTGTCTCCCCCCGTGTCTCTCCCCGTGTCTCCCCGTGTCTCCCCGTGTCTCCCCTTGTCTCACCTCGTGTCTCCCCGTGTCTCCCCCGTGTCTCCCCCCGTGTCTCCCCCCGTGTCTCCCCCCGTGTCTCCCCATGTCTCCCCGTGTCTCCCCGTGTCTCCCCCCGTGTCTCCCCGTGTCTCCCCCCGTGTCTCCCCGTGTCTCCCCCCGTGTCTCCCCGTGTCTCCCCGTGTCTCCCCCGTGTCTCCACCCGTGTTCCCCGTGTCTCCCCGTGTCTCTCCCCGTGTCTCTCCCTGTGTCTCCCCGTGTCTCTCCGTGTATCTCCCCGTGTCTCCCCCCGTGTCTCCCCGTGTCTCCCCCCGTGTCTCCCCGTGTCTCCCCCCGTGTCTCCGCGTGTCTCCCCGTGTCTCCCCCGTGTCTCCACCCGTGTTCCCCGTGTCTCCCCGTGTCTCTCCCCGTGTCTCTCCCTGTGTCTCCCCGTGTCTCTCCGTGTATCTCCCCGTGTCTCCCCCTGTGTCTCCCCGTGTCTCCCCCCGTGTCTCTCCCCGTGTCTCCCCGTGTCTCCCCGTGTCTCCCCTTGTCTCACCTCGTGTCTCCCCGTGTCTCCCCCGTGTCTCCCCCCGTGTCTCCCCTCGTGTCTCCCCGTGTCTCCCCGTGTCTCCCCCCGTGTCTCCCCCCGTGTCTCCCCCCGTGTCTCCCCGTGTCTCTCCGTGTCTCTCCCCGTGTCTCTCCCCGTGTCTCCCCCCCTGTCTCTCCCCCGTGTCTCCCCCCGTGTCTCACCCCGTGTCTCCACCCGTGTCTCTCCCCGTGTCTCTCCGTGTCTCTCCGTGTCTCCCCGTCTCTCACCCCGTGTCTCCCCGTGTCTCCCCGTGTCTCCCCCCGTGTCTCGCCGTGTCTCTCCCCGTGTCTCTCCGTGTCTCCCCGTGTCTCCCCCCGTCTCTCACCCCGTGTCTCACCCCGTGTCTCACCCCGTGTCTCCACCCGTGTCTCTCCGTGTCTCCCCGTGTCTCCCTGTCTCTCACCCCGTGTCTCACCCCGTGTCTCACCCCGTGTCTCCCCGTGTCTCACCCCGTGTCTCCCCGTGTCTCCCCGTCTCCCACCCCGTGTCTCCCCCATGTCTCACCCCGTGTCTCCCCGTGTCTCCCCATGTCTCCCCCCGTGTCTCCCCCTGTCTCACCCCGTGTCTCCCCCGTGTCTCCCCGTCTCTCTCCCCGTGTCTCCCCGTGTCTCCCCGTCTCTCACCCGTGTCTCCCCGTGTCTCACCGTATCTCTCTCCCCGTGTCTCCCCGTGTCTCACCCCGTGTCTCCCCGTGTCTCCCCGTCTCCCACCCCGTGTCTCCCCCTGTCTCACCCCGTGTCTCCCCCGTGTCTCCCCGTCTCTCTCCCCGTGTCTCCCCGTGTCTCCCCGTCTCTCACCCGTGTCTCCCCGTGTCTCACCGTATCTCTCTCCCCGTGTCTCCCCGTCTCTCACCCCGTGTCTCCCCGTGTCTCCCCGTCTCTCACCCCGTGTCTCTCCCCGTGTCTCCCCGTGTCTCACCCCGTGTCTCCCCCGTGTCTCCCCGTCTCTCTCCCCGTGTCTCCCCGTGTCTCCCCGTCTCTCACCCCGTGTCTCTCCCCGTGTCTCCCCGTGTCTCCCCGTGTCTCAGTTCGACATTGACAGCATGCTGAGCCTGAGGCCTGTCAAGGCCTCAATCCGCCGCTCGTTTATGCCGGCCCTGAGACTTGACTTTGAGACGGACGCCCGGCACAGCAGCCTCCGGACTCAGCTGTACCGCTTACAGGTGGAGACACGTGGAGACACGTGGAGACACAGAGACACAGAGACACGGGGACACACGGAGACACAGAGACACACAGAGAGACACAGAGACACAGCAGTCTACGGACTCAGCTGTACCGCTTACAGGTGGAGACACGTGGAGACACAGAGACACGGGGATTCGGGGAGACACATAGAGACATGGAGGACTCACAGAGACACGGGGAGACACAGAGATACGGGGATTCGGGGAGACACACAGAGACAGGGGGAGACACAGAGACACAGGGGAGACACAGAGACACGGGGATTCGGGGAGACACATAGAGACATGGGGGACTCACAGAGACACGGGGAGACACGGGGAGACACAGAGACACGGGGATTCGGGGAGACACATAGAGACAGGGGGAGACACAGAGACACAGGGGAGACACAGAGACACGGGGATTCGGGGAGACACACAGAGACAGGGGGAGACACAGAGACACAGGGGAGACACAGAGACACGGGGATTCGGGGAGACACATAGAGACATGGGGGACTCACAGAGACACGGGGAGACACAGAGACACGGGGATTCGGGGAGACACACAGATACAGGGGGAGACACAGAGACACAGGGGAGACACAGAGACACGGGGATTCGGGGAGACACATAGAGACATGGGGAGACACAGAGACACAGGGGAGACACAGAGACACGGGGATTCGGGGAGACACACAGAGACAGGGGGAGACACAGAGACACAGGGGAGACACAGAAACACGGGGATTCGGGGAGACACATAGAGACATGGGGGACTCATAGAGACACGGGGAGACACAGAGACACGGGGATTCGGGGAGACACACAGAGACAGGGGGAGACACAGAGACACAGGGGAGACACAGAGACACAGAGACACGGGGATTCGGGGAGACACACAGAGACAGGGGGAGACACAGAGACACGGGGAGACACAGAGACACGGGGATTCGGGGAGACACACAGAGACAGGGGGAGACACACAGAGACATGGGGGACTCACAGAGACACAGAGACACGGGGAGACACAGAGACCCCACGTTGACCCCACGTTGACCCCACATTGACCCAATGTTGACCCAATGTTGACCCCAAGTTGACCCCACGTTGACCTCACGTTGACCCCACATTGACCCAATGTTGACCCCAAGTTGACCCCACGTTGACCTCACGTTGACCCCACATTGACCCCATGTTGACCTCACGTTGACCTCCCGTTGACCCTACGTTGACCCCACGTTGACCCCACGTTGACCCCACATTAACTTCACATTGACCCCACGTTGACCCCACGTTGACCTCCCGTTGACCCCACGTTGACCCCACGTTGACCTCACATTGACCACACGTTGACCCCACGTTGACCTCACATTGACTCCATGTTGACCTCACATTGACCTCACATTGACCTCACATTGTCCTCACATTGACCCCACGTTGACCTCCCGTTGACCCCACGTTGACCCCACGTTGACCTCACATTGACCCCACGTTGACCCCACGTTGACCTCACATTGACTCCACGTTGACCTCACATTGACCTCACATTGACCTCACATTGTCCTCACATTGACCCCACGTTGACCTCCCGTTGACCCCACGTTGACCCCACGTTGACCTCACATTGACCCCACGTTGACCCCACGTTGACCTCACATTGACTCCACGTTGACCTCACATTGACCTCACATTGACCTCACATTGTCCTCACATTGACCCCACGTTGACCTCCCGTTGACCCCACGTTGACCCCACGTTGACCTCACATTGACCCCACGTTGACCCCACATTGACCTCACATTGACTCCACGTTGACCTCACATTGACCTCACATTGACCTCACATTGTCCTCACATTGACCCCACGTTGACCCCACATTGACCTCACATTGACTCCACGTTGACCTCACATTGACCTCACATTGACCTCACATTGTCCTCACATTGACCCCACGTTGACCCCGCTAGGTGGACAATCAGCTAATGGGAGCCGTGTTTCCTGTTGTGTTTCACCCCGTGGCACCGCCACCATCAATCGCTCTCGACTCTGGTGAGTTACTCACCACCACGCTCACCACCACGCTCACCACTCACCACCACTCACTACTACACTCACCACTCACCACCACGCTCACCACCACGCTCACCACGCTCACCACTCACTACTACACTCACCACTCACCACCACGCTCACCACTCACCACTCACTATTACACTCACCACTCACTACTACACTCACCACTCACCACCACGCTCACCACTCACCACCACGCTCACCACTCACCACCACGCTCACCACCACGCTCACCACTCACCACCACTCACTACTACACTCACCACCACGCTCACCACAACACTCACCACCACGTTCACCACTCACTACTACACTCACCACCACGCTCATCACTCACCACCACGCTCACCACCACACTCACCACCACGCTCATCACTCACTACTACACTCACCACTCACCACCACCACTCACCACCACCACTCACCACCACGCTCACCACTCACCACCACGCTCACCACCACACTCACCACTCACCACCACGCTCACCACCACGCTCACCACTACGCTCACCACCACGCTCACCACTCACCACCACTCACCACCACCACTCACCAACACGCTCACCACTCACCACCACGCTCACCACGCTCACCACGCTCACCACAACACTCATCACCACGCTCACCACCACGCTCACCACTCACCACCACCACGCTCACCACTCACCACTCACCACCACACTCAACACGCTCACCACCACGCTCACCACCACGCTCACCACTCACCACCACGCTCACCACCACGCTCACCACAACACTCACCACCACGCTCACTACTACACTCACCACTCACCACCACGCTCACCACGCTCACCACTCACCACCACTCACCACCACGCTCAACACTCACCACCACGCTCACCACCACGCTCACTACTACACTCACCACCACGTTCACCACTCACCACCACGCTCACTAATACACTCACTACAACACTCACCACAACGCTCACCACCACGCTCACCACCACGCTCACCACCATACTCACCACCACGCTCACTACTACACTCACCACCACGTTCACCACTCACCACCACGCTCACTAATACACTCACTACAACACTCACCACCACGCTCACCACCACGCTCACCACCACGCTCACCACCACGCTCACCACCACGCTCACCACTCACCACCACGCTCACCACCACTACACTCACCACCACGCTCACCACTCACCACCACGCTCACCACAACACTCACCACCACACTCACCACCACGCTCACCACTCACCACTCACCACCACTCACCACCACGCTCACCACCACGCTCACCACTCACCACCACGCTCACCACCACTCACCACAACACTCACCACTCACCACCACGCTCACTACTACACTCACCACCACACTCACCACCACGTTCACCACTCACCACGCTCACCACTCACCACCACGCTCACCACTCACCACCACGCTCACCACCATGCTCACCACCACGCTCACCACCACGCTCACCACTCACCACCACGCTCACCACTCATCACTCACCACCACGCTCACCGCCACGCTCACCACTCACCACCCACCACCACGCTCACCACCACGCTCACCACTCACCACTCACCACCACGCACCACTCACCACCACGCACCACTCACCACCACGCTCACCACCACTCACCACCACGCTCACCACCACGCTCACCACCACGCTCACCACTCACCACCACACTCACCACCACACTCACCACCACGCTCACCACTCACCACCACACTCACCACCACGCTCACCACTCACCACCACGCTCACCACCACGCTCACCACTCACCACCACGCTCACCATATCAAGTGTTTCTGACCCCATGACTCGTCCGTGACCCCTGTGTGACCTCACGTGACCCCCGTGACTTTCATGACCCCTGTGTGACCCCCGTGACCCCTGTGTGACCTCTACAGCTCCCAGGCCGTTTGTGGATATTAGCTTCATCGCCAAACGCAACAAGAGGAGTGACCTGGTGCAAATCACGTGGGTAGAAATCACCACTCACTCACCACTCACTCACCACTCACTCACCACTCACTCACCACTCACTCACTCACTCAGTCACTCACTCACTCACTCACCACTCACTCACCACTCACTCACTCACTCACCACTCACTCACCACTCACTCACCACTCACTCACCACTCACTCACTCACCACTCACTCACCACTCACTCACTCACCACTCACTCACCACTCACTCACTCACCACTCACTCACCACTCACTCACCACTCACTCACTCACTCACCACTCACTCACCACTCACTCACCACTCACTCACCACTCACTCACTCACCACTCACTCACCACTCACTCACCACTCACTCACCACTCACTCACCACTCACCACTCACTCACCACTCACTCACTCACTCAGTCAGTCACTCACTCACTCACCACTCACTCACTCACTCACCACTCACCACTCACTCACCACTCACTCACCACTCACTCACTCACCACTCACTCACCACTCACTCACCACTCACTCACTCACCACTCACTCACCACTCACTCACCACTCACTCACTCACTCACCACTCACTCACCACTCACTCACCACTCACTCACCACTCACCACTCACTCACCACTCACTCACTCACCACTCACTCACCACTCACTCACCACTCACCACTCACCACTCACTCACCACTCACCACTCACTCACCACTCACTCACCACTCACTCACCACTCACCACTCACTCACCACTCACTCACCACTCACTCACCACTCACTCACTCACCACTCACTCACTCACCACTCACTCACTCACCACTCACTCACCACTCACTCACTCACTCACCACTCACTCACCACTCACTCACCACTCACCACTCACCGTGTCTCTGTGTGTCTCTGTGTGTCTCACCGTGTCTCTGTGTGTCTCTGTGTGTCTCCAGCTACTATGTGATGCTGGTGCAGGAGATTAATCTGTCTCTCTCCCCGTGTGTCTCTGTGTGTCTCTGTGTGTCTCTGTGTGTCTCTGTGTGTCTCACGGTGTCTCTGTGTGTCTCACCGTGTCTCTGTGTCTCTCTGTGTGTCTCCCCGTGTCTCTGTGTCTCTCTGTGTGTCTCTTTGTGTCTCTGTGTGTCTCACCGTGTCTCTGTGTGTCTCACCGTGTCTCTGTGTGTCTCACCGTGTCTCTGTGTGTCTCTGTGTGTCTCTGTGTCTCTGTGTGTCTCTGTGTGTCTCACCGTGTCTCTGTATCTCTGTGTGTCTCTGTGTGTCTCTGTGTGTCTCCAGCTACTGTGTGATGCTGGTGCAGGAGATGAATCTGTCTCTCTCCCCGTGTGTCTCTGTGTGTCTCTGTGTCTCCCCGTGTCTCACCGTGTCTCCCCGTGTGTCTCTGTGTGTCTCTGTGTGTCTCCCCGTGTCTCTGTGTCTCCAGCTACTGTGTGATGCTGGTGCAGGAGATGAATCTGTCTCTCTCCCCGTGTGTCTCTGTGTGTCTCACCGTGTCTCTGTGTCTCTGTGTGTCTCTGTGTGTCTCCAGCTACTGTGTGATGCTGGTGCAGGAGATGAATCTGTCTCTCTGTGTCTCTGTGTGTCTCTGTGTGTCTCTGTGTGTCTCCCCGTGTCTCTGTGTCTCTCTGTGTGTCTCTGTGTGTCTCACCGTGTCTCTGTGTGTCTCTGTGTGTCTCTGTGTCTCTGTGTGTCTCTGTGTGTCTCACCGTGTCTCCCCGTGTCTCACCGTGTCTCTCTGTGTCTCCAGCTACTGTGTGATGCTGGTGCAGGAGATGAATCTGTCTCTCTCCCCGTGTCTCTGTGTGTCTCTGTGTGTCTCTGTGTGTCTCCAGCTACTGTGTGATGCTGTGCAGGAGATGAATCTGTCTCTCTCCCCGTGTCTCACCGTGTCTCTGTGTGTCTCACCGTGTGTCTCTGTGTGTCTCTGTGTGTCTCTGTGTGTCTCTGTGTCTCACCGTGTCTCTGTGTGTCTCTGTGTGTCTCTGTGTGTCTCACCGTGTCTCTGTGTGTCTCCCCGTGTCTCTAGCTACTGTGTGATGCTGGTGCAGGAGATGAATCTGTCTCTCTCCCCGTGTCTCACCGTGTCTCTGTGTGTCTCTGTGTGTCTCTGTGTGTCTCACCGTGTCTCACCGTGTCTCTGTGTGTCTCTGTGTGTCTCTGTGTGTCTCTGTGTGTCTCACCGTGTCTCTGTGTCTCTAGCTACTGTGTGATGCTGGTGCAGGAGATGAATCTGTCTCTCTCTCTCTGTGTGTCTCTGTGTGTCTCTGTGTGTCTCTGTGTCTCCCCGTGTCTCACCGTGTCTCTGTGTGTCTCTAGCTACTGTGTGATGCTGGTGCAGGAGATGAATCTGTCTCTCTCTCTCTGTGTCTCTGTGTGTCTCTGTGTGTCTCTGTGTGTCTCACCGTGTCTCACCGTGTCTCTGTGTGTCTCACCGTGTGTCTCTGTGTGTCTCTGTGTGTCTCTGTGTCTCCAGCTACTGTGTGATGCTGGTGCAGGAGATGAATCTGTCTCTCTCCCCGTGTCTCAACGTGTGTCTCTGTGTGTCTCTGTGTGTCTCTGTGTGTCTCTGTGTGTCTCTGTGTCTCTAGCTACTGTGTGATGCTGGTGCAGGAGATGAATCTGTCTCTCTCCCCGTGTCTCCCCGTGTGTCTCTCCGTGTCTCTGTGTGTCTTACCGTGTCTCTGTGTGTCTCTGTGTGTCTCTGTGTGTCTCACCGTGTCTCTGTGTGTCTCTGTGTGTCTCTGTGTCTCCAGCTACTGTGTGATGCTGGTGCAGGAGATTAATCTGTCTCTCTCTCTGTGTGTCTCTGTGTGTCTCTGTGTGTCTCTGTGTGTCTCACCGTGTGTCTCTGTGTGTCTCTGTGTGTCTCTGTATCTCCAGCTACTGTGTGATGCTGGTGCAGGAGATGAATCTGTCTCTCTCTCTCTGTGTCTCTGTGTGTCTCTGTGTCTCCCCGTGTCTCACCGTGTCTCTGTGTGTCTCTGTGTGTCTCTGTGTCTCCAGCTACTGTGTGATGCTGGTGCAGGAGATGAATCTGTCTGTCTCCCCGTGTGTCTCTCCGTGTCTCTGTGTGTCTTACCGTGTCTCTGTGTGTCTCTGTGTGTCTCTGTGTGTCTCACCGTGTCTCTGTGTGTCTCTGTGTGTCTCTGTGTCTCCAGCTACTGTGTGATGCTGGTGCAGGAGATGAATCTGTCTCTCTCTCTCTGTGTGTCTCTGTGTGTCTCTGTGTGTCTCACCGTGTGTCTCTGTGTGTCTCTGTGTGTCTCTGTATCTCCAGCTACTGTGTGATGCTGGTGCAGGAGATGAATCTGTCTCTCTCTCTGTGTGTCTCTGTGTGTCTCTGTGTGTCTCACCGTGTCTCTGTGTCTCCAGCTACTGTGTGATGCTGGTGCAGGAGATGAATCTGTCTCTCTCTCTGTGTGTCTCACTGTGTCTCTGTGTGTCTCACCGTGTGTCTCTGTGTGTGTCTGTGTGTCTCTGTGTGTCTCCAGCTACTGTGTGATGCTGGTGCAGGAGATGAATCTGTCTCTCTCCCCGTGTCTCACCGTGTCTCACCGTGTGTCTCTGTGTGTCTCTGTGTCTCCCCGTGTCTCCCCGTGTCTCACCGTGTGTCTCTGTGTCTCCAGCTACTGTGTGATGCTGGTGCAGGAGATGAATCTGTCTCTCTCCCCGTGTCTCTGTGTGTCTCTGTGTGTCTCTGTGTGTCTCACCGTGTCTCTGTGTGTCTCTGTGTCTCCAGCTACTGTGTGATGCTGGTGCAGGAGATGAATCTGTCTCTCTCTCTGTGTGTCTCTGTGTGTCTCTGTGTGTCTCTGTGTCTCCCCGTGTCTCACCGTGTCTCTGTGTCTCCAGCTACTGTGTGATGCTGGTGCAGGAGATGAATCTGTCTCTCTCTCTGTGTGTCTCTGTGTGTCTCTGTGTGTCTCTGTGTCTCCCCGTGTCTCACCGTGTCTCTGTGTCTCCAGCTACTGTGTGATGCTGGTGCAGGAGATGAATCTGTCTCTCTCTCTGTGTGTCTCTGTGTGTCTCTGTGTGTCTCTGTGTCTCCCCGTGTCTCACCGTGTCTCTGTGTGTCTCTGTGTGTCTCTGTGTGTCTCCAGCTACTGTGTGATTCTGGTGCAGGAGATGAATCTGTCTCTCTCTCTGTGTGTCTCACTGTGTCTCTGTGTGTCTCACCGTGTGTCTCTGTGTGTGTCTGTGTGTCTCTGTGTGTCTCCAGCTACTGTGTGATGCTGGTGCAGGAGATGAATCTGTCTCTCTCCCCGTGTCTCACCGTGTCTCACCGTGTGTCTCTGTGTGTCTCTGTGTCTCCCCGTGTCTCCCCGTGTCTCACCGTGTCTCTCTGTGTCTCCAGCTACTGTGTGATGCTGGTGCAGGAGATGAATCTGTCTCTCTCCCCGTGTCTCACCGTGTCTCACCGTGTGTCTCTGTGTGTCTCTGTGTGTCTCACCGTGTGTCTCTGTGTGTGTCTGTGTGTCTCTGTGTGTCTCCAGCTACTGTGTGATGCTGGTGCAGGAGATGAATCTGTCTCTCTCTCCGTGTGTCTCTGTGTGTCTCTGTGTGTCTCTGTGTGTCTCCCCGTGTCTCCCCGTGTCTCCCCGTGTCTCACCGTGTCTCTCTGTGTCTCCAGCTACTGTGTGATGCTGGTGCAGGAGATGAATCTGTCTCTCTCTCTGTGTGTCTCTGTGTGTCTCTGTGTCTCCCCGTGTCTCACCGTGTCTCTGTGTGTCTCTGTGTGTCTCTGTGTCTCCAGCTACTGTGTGATGCTGGTGCAGGAGATGAATCTGTCTCCCTCTCTGTGTGTCTCTGTGTGTCTCTGTGTGTCTCACCGTGTCTCTGTGTGTCTCTGTGTGTCTCTGTGTGTCTCACCGTGTCTCACCGTGTGTCTCTGTGTGTCTCTGTGTGTCTCTGTGTCTCCAGCTACTGTGTGATGCTGGTGCAGGAGATGAATCTGTCTCTCTCTCTGTGTGTCTCTGTGTGTCTCTGTGTGTCTCACCGTGTGTCTCTGTGTGTCTCTGTGTGTCTCTGTGTGTCTCTGTGTCTCCAGCTACTGTGTGATGCTGGTGCAGGAGATGAATCTGTCTCTCTCCCCGTGTCTCTGTGTGTCTCTGTGTGTCTCTGTGTGTCTCTGTGTGTCTCCAGCTACTGTGTGATGCTGGTGCAGGAGATGAATCTGTCTCTCTCCCCGTGTCTCTGTGTGTCTCTGTGTGTCTCACCGTGTGTCTCTGTGTGTCTCTGTGTGTCTCCCCGTGTCTCTAGCTACTGTGTGATGCTGGTGCAGGAGATGAATCTGTCACTCTCCCCGTGTCTCTGTGTGTCTCTGTGTGTCTCTGTGTGTCTCACCGTGTCTCACCGTGTCTCTGTGTGTCTCTGTGTCTCCCCGTGTCTCCCCGTGTCTCACCGTGTCTCTCTGTGTCTCCAGCTACTGTGTGATGCTGGTGCAGGAGATGAATCTGTCTCTCTCCCCGTGTCTCACCGTGTCTCACCGTGTGTCTCTGTGTGTCTCTGTGTGTCTCACCGTGTGTCTCTGTGTGTGTCTGTGTGTCTCTGTGTGTCTCCAGCTACTGTGTGATGCTGGTGCAGGAGATGAATCTGTCTCTCTCTCCGTATCTCTCTGTGTGTCTCTGTGTGTCTCTGTGTCTCCCCGTGTCTCCCCGTGTCTCACCGTGTCTCTCTGTGTCTCCAGCTACTGTGTGATGCTGGTGCAGGAGATGAATCTGTCTCTCTCCCCGTGTCTCACCGTGTCTCACCGTGTGTCTCTGTGTGTCTCTGTGTGTCTCACCGTGTGTCTCTGTGTGTGTCTGTGTGTCTCTGTGTGTCTCCAGCTACTGTGTGATGCTGGTGCAGGAGATGAATCTGTCTCTCTCTCCGTATCTCTCTGTGTGTCTCTGTGTGTCTCTGTGTGTCTCTGTGTGTCTCACCGTGTGTCTCTGTGTGTGTCTGTGTGTCTCTGTGTGTCTCCAGCTACTGTGTGATGCTGGTGCAGGAGATGAATCTGTCTCTCTCTCCGTATCTCTCTGTGTGTCTCTGTGTGTCTCTGTGTCTCCCCGTGTCTCCCCGTGTCTCACCGTGTCTCTCTGTGTCTCCAGCTACTGTGTGATGCTGGTGCAGGAGATGAATCTGTCCGTCGACGTCGGATTCGTCACCGAACTGCTCAGAATATTTTACCCAGAGGCACCCGGCGGGATCACAGAGGAAGAGAGGGTGAGAGACCCATAGAGTTGACATTCATAGAGACCCACATAGAGTTGACATTCATAGAGTTTACATTAATAGAGACCCCCATAGAGTTTACATTCATAGAGACTCATAGAGTTTGCATTCATAGAGACCCATAGAGTTTACATTCATAGAGACCCATAGAGTTTACATTCATAGAGTTTACATAGAGACTCATAGAGTTTACATTCATAGAGACCCACATAGAGTTTACATAGAGACTCATAGAGTGTACATTCATAGAGACCCCCATAGAGTTTACAAAGAGACCCACATAGAGTTGACATTCATAGAGAGACTCTTAGAGTTGAAATTCATAGAGACCCACATAGAGTTGACATTCATAGAGTTTACATTCATAGAGACCCCCATAGAGTTTACATAGAGACTCATAGAGTTGACATTCATTGAGACCCACATAGAGTTGACATAGAGACCCACATAGAGTTTACATTCATAGAGACCCACATAGAGTTGACATTCATAGAGTTTACATTCATAGAGACCCACATAGAGTTTACATAGAGACCCACATAGAGTTTACATTCATAGAGACCCACATAGAGTTTACATAGAGATTCATAGAGTTTACATTCATAGAGACCCACATAGAGTTTACATTCATAGAGACCCATAGAGTTTACATTCATAGAGTTTACATAGAGACTCATAGAGTTGACATTCATAGAGACCCACATAGAGTTTACATTCATAGAGTTTACATACAGACTCATAGAGTTGACATTCATAGAGACCCACATAGAGTTTACATTCATAGAGTTGACATTCATAGAGACCCACATAGAGTTTACATTCATAGAGTTTACATTCATAGAGACCCACATAGAGTTTACATTCATAGAGACCCATAGAGTTTACATTCATAGAGTTGACATTCATAGAGACCCACATAGAGTTGACATTCATAGAGATCCACATAGAGTTGACATTCATAGAGTTTACATAGACTCATAGAGTTTACATTCATAGAGACCCCCATAGAGTTTACATTCATAGAGACTCATAGAGTTGGCATTCATAGAGACCCACATAGAGTTGACATTCATATAGTTTACATAGAGACTCATAGAGTTTACATTCATAGAGACCCCCATAGAGTTTACATTCATAGAGACTCATAGAGTTGACATTCATAGAGACCCACATAGAGTTGACATTCATAGAGACCCATAGAATTTACATAGAGACTCATAGAGTTTACATTCATAGAGTTGACATTCATAGAGACCCACATAGAGTTTACATTCATAGAGACCCACATAGAGTTTAAATTCATAGAGTTTACATTGAGACTCATAGAGTTGACATTCATAGAGACCCACATAGAGTTTACATTCATAGAGTTTACATTCATAGAGACCCACATAGAGTTTACATTCATAGAGACTCATAGAGTTTACATTCATAGAGACCCATAGAGTTTACATTCATAGAGACCCACATAGAGTTTACATTCATAGAGTTTACATAGAGACTCATAGAGTTTACATTCATAGATACCCCCATAGAGTTTACATTCATAGAGACTCATAGAGTTGACATTCATAGAGACCCACATAGAGTTGACATTCATAGAGTTTACATAGAGACTCATAGAGTTTACATTCATAGAGACCCCCATAGAGTTTACATTCATAGAGACTCATAGAGTTGACATTCATAGAGACCCATAGAGTTTACATTCATAGAGACCCATAGAGTTTACATTCATAGAGACCCATAGAGTTTACATTCATAGAGACCCACATAGAGTTTACATTCATAGAGACCCATAGAGTTTACATTCATAGAGACCCATAGAGTTTACATTCATAGAGACCCCCATAGAGTTTACATTCATAGAGACCCATAGAGTTTACATTCATAGAGACCCACATAGAGTTTACATTCATAGAGTTTACATTCATAGAGACCCATAGAGTTTACATTCATAGAGACCCATCGAGTTTACATTCATAGAGACCCATAGAGTTTATATTCATAGAGACCCACATAGAGTTTACATTCATAGAGACCCATAGAGTTAACATTCATAAGGACCCATAGAGTTTACATTCATAGAGACCCCCATAGAGTTTACATTCATAGAGACCCATAGAGTTTACATTCATAGAGACCCACATAGAGTTTACATTCATAGAGTTTACATTCATAGAGACCCATAGAGTTTACATTCATAGAGACCCATCGAGTTTACATTCATAGAGACCCATAGAGTTTACATTCATAGAGACCCACATAGAGTTTACATTCATAGAGACCCATAGAGTTTACATTCATAGAGACCCACATAGAGTTTACATTCATAGAGACCCCCATAGAGTTTACATTCATAGAGACTCATAGAGTTTACATTCATAGAGAGACTCATAGAGTTGACATTCATAGAGACCCACATAGAGTTTACATTCATAGAGTTTACATTCATAGAGACCCACCTAGAGTTTACATAGAGACTCATAGAGTTTACATTCATAGAGACCCACATAGAGTTTACATAGTGACTCATAAAGTTGACATTCATAGAGACCCACATAGAGTTTACATTCATAGAGACCCCCATAGAGTTTACATTCATAGAGACCCACATAGAGTTTACATTCATAGACACCCATAGAGTTTACATTCATAGAGACCCCCATAGAGTTTACATTCATAGAGACCCCCATAGAGTTTACATTCATAGACACCCATAGAGTTTACATTCATAGAGACCCCCATAGAGTTTACATTCATAGAGACCCATACAGTTTACATTCATAGAGACCCATAGAGTTTACATTCATAGAGACCCATAGAGTTTACATTCATAGAGACCCACATAGAGTTTACATTCATAGAGACCCATAGAGTTTACATTCATAGAGACCCATAGAGTTTACATTCATAGAGACCCATAGAGTTTACATTCATAGAGACCCACATAGAGTTTACATTCATAGAGACCCATAGAGTTTACATTCATAGAGACCCCCATAGAGTTTACATTCATAGAGACCCATAGAGTTTACATTCATAGAGTTTACATTCATAGAGACCCATAGAGTTTACATTCATAGAGACCCATCGAGTTTACATTCATAGAGACCCATAGAGTTTATATTCATAGAGACCCACATAGAGTTTACATTCATAGAGACCCATAGAGTTAACATTCATAAGGACCCATAGAGTTTACATTCATAGAGACCCCCATAGAGTTTACATTCATAGAGACCCATAGAGTTTACATTCATAGAGACCCACATAGAGTTTACATTCATAGAGTTTACATTCATAGAGACCCATAGAGTTTACATTCATAGAGACCCATCGAGTTTACATTCATAGAGACCCATAGAGTTTATATTCATAGAGACCCACATAGAGTTTACATTCATAGAGACCCATAGAGTTTACATTCATAGAGACCCCCATAGAGTTTACATTCATAGAGACCCCCATAGAGTTTACATTCATAGAGACTCATAGAGTTTACATTCATAGAGACCCACATAGAGTTTACATTCATAGAGTTTACATTGAGACTCATAGAGTTCACATTCATAGAGACCCACATAGAGTTTACATTCATAGAGTTTACATTCATAGAGACCCACCTAGAGTTTACATAGAGACTCATAGAGTTTACATTCATAGAGACCCACATAGAGTTTACATAGTGACTCATAAAGTTGACATTCATAGAGACCCACATAGAGTTTACATTCATAGAGACCCCCATAGAGTTTACATTCATAGAGACCCACATAGAGTTTACATTCATAGACACCCATAGAGTTTACATTCATAGAGACCCCCATAGAGTTTACATTCATAGAGTTTACATTCATAGAGACCCATAGAGTTTACATTCATAGAGACCCCCATAGAGTTTACATTCATAGAGACTCATAGAGTTTACATTCATAGAGACCCATAGAGTTTACATTCATAGAGACCCATAGAGTTTACATTCATAGAGACCCACATAGAGTTTACATTCATAGAGACTCATAGAGTTTACATTCATAGAGACCCATAGAGTTTACATTCATAGAGACCCATAGAGTTTACATTCATAGAGACCCACATAGAGTTTACATTCATAGAGACCCATAGAGTTTACATTCATAGAGACCCCCATAGAGTTTACATTCATAGAGACCCATAGAGTTTACATTCATAGAGACCCACATAGAGTTTACATTCATAGAGTTTACATTCATAGAGACCCATAGAGTTTACATTCATAGAGACCCATAGAGTTTACATTCATAGAGACCCATAGAGTTTACATTCATAGAGACCCACATAGAGTTTACATTCATAGAGACCCATAGAGTTTACATTCATAGAGACCCCCATAGAGTTTACATTCATAGAGACCCCCATAGAGTTTACATTCATAGAGACCCATAGAGTTTACATTCATAGAGACCCATAGAGTTTACATTCATAGAGACCCATAGAGTTTACATTCATAGAGACCCACATAGAGTTTACATTCATAGAGACCCATAGAGTTTACATTCATAGAGACCCACATAGAGTTTACATTCATAGAGACCCATAGAGTTTACATTCATAGAGACCCACATAGAGTTTACATTCATAGAGTTTACATTCATAGAGACCCATAGAGTTTACATTCATAGAGACCCATAGAGTTTACATTCATAGAGACCCATAGAGTTTACATTCATAGAGACCCACATAGAGTTTACATTCATAGAGACCCCCATAGAGTTTACATTCATAGAGACCCCCATAGAGTTTACATTCATAGAGACCCATAGAGTTTACATTCATAGAGACCCACATAGAGTTTACATTCATAGAGTTTACATTCATAGAGACCCATAGAGTTTACATTCATAGAGACCCATCGAGTTTACATTCATAGAGACCCATAGAGTTTATATTCATAGAGACCCACATAGAGTTTACATTCATAGAGACCCATAGAGTTAACATTCATAAGG